TGCTGCTGAGTCCATCAACCTCCAGTGCAGAGAGAAGATTGCACAAAATGCCCAAGAAGACAAAGTCAGAAGGAACAGTGAAGTTTCCTGGAGTCTTAATGGGCTCCACTGAGGGCCATTGACAAGCAAGCTTCCCCAGGGACTTGTTAGAGCAGATAATTGGAAGCCATGATTGCAGGCAGACCAAGGCACTGGGATGGTGGCTGTGATGCTGAGCAAAGCCTCCTTTGTCTTGTGAAGCAGAAAGGCCAAGGCCTGATCCCCAGAGCCTTGGCAGGGAGATCGTGTCCCTCATGCTGGCTCAGGGCCCTTCCTGGGGCAGTGGGATGGAGGTTTGTCTGATGTCACATGGAAGACCAGGGGACAGCAGCTGCCAGACTCTGCATGGGGTGCAAGGATGCTGTGAGGCCCAAGTCCCATGAGGGCAGTGTGTCTCATGCCAGGATGTGGGATGTGAGAAGGGCCCAGTCTGGACAAGCAATCAATCCCAATGAAACTCTGAACATCAGCTCTCTCAGTTCTGGTATCCTCTTTTGTACAGTCTCCAATAGTTTTATGTCCTTTATGTTCTGTGGTGCCTAGAAGCGCACCCAGTGCTTCAGGTGAAGGTGCAGCAGTGCAGAGCAGAGGGGGACAATCCCTTCCCTCACCCAGCTGGCTGTTGCATGCTCAATGCACCCCAGGGTACAGTTGGCCTTCCTGGCTTCTTGGGTACACTGCTGACTCACGTTCCATTTGATGTTGACCAGGACCCCCAATCCCTTTCAGTGGGACTGCTCTCCAGTGCCCCATATCACTGTGTGGGTCCACGGTTGCCCCTACCCAGGTGCAGAATCAGGCACTTGTGCTTGTTACACGTAATGCAGTTCGTGCTTACCCAGTTCTCTATCTTGTCCACATCTCTCTGAAAGTCTTCTCTACCCTCAGTGGAGGAAACAGCTGTACCCAGCTTGATATCATCAGCAAATGTACTCAATACATCTTCTAGTCATGCATGCAAGTCATTGATGAAAACATTATAGAGAAGAGGCCCTCAAATGGAGCCCTGGGGAACCCTGCTAGTGAACATCCACCAGCCTGATGGAACCCCATTTAATGTAACCCTTTGGGCCAGACCCAATGGCCAACTGCTCACCCAAGGCAGTAGGTTTCTAGCCGTGTTCAGGGATATTTGTCCAGAAGAATTATCTAAGAAAGAGTATCAAAAGCATCACTGAAATCCTCAAGGATAATCTCATCTGGCTTCCCTTGGTCAACTAGATGTGTGATCTTGTCATAAAAGGACATTAAGGTTAATAAGAACTTCCTCTCATGAACTTGTGTTGGCTGTGACCAATGACGGAATTGTCCTTCAGGTGTTTCTCAGTAACTACCAGCATCATTTTTTCCATAATTATACCAGGTACTGAAGTGAAAGTGACAGTTCTGTAATTGCCTATGTCCTCTTTCTCGCTCTTGTTTAAAACTGGAACGTTTGCCAGTTTCCTGTCAGCTGGGAACTGGCATAACTCTAGACTTCTTCTGATGTCATTCACATGAGAGCCCAGAGCAAACTGATAAGTTGTCACCAGTGAAAGAATGCAGGTGTGTCATAGCTTTGTAATGCCTTGAACTCCAGAGTTTGCCACAGATGGAGCAGAGAGGAAGATCTGGCTCTTCTATTGTGAGCTCATCCATTTGGTCAGCAGAATAACACGACATGCTCATGGGGACAGGTGCAAAAGGCACAGTGGGTGCCCCAAGCACAGGGCTGTGGTGGCATTTAGGATGGCCAGGAATACCTCCCTTCTGGCCCTCAGCTGATGCTCAGGAAGTAGCTGTCTGTCTCACAGATTTTCCACCACAGTTCACAAGCACGAGCACACAGCTAGGATCACCCCAGGCACCTTGGTCATCCCTGAGTGTGTGTGTGTGAGCAGTGCAGTCCCTGTTGAATAAAGAGCAAGAATTCAGATGAGGGTCTCACACACAGACACCTCACTGTGCACATCTGAACTCAACTAAGAGGGCTCCTGGCTCCCATGGTTCTGTGAGGAACTGATCCCATCTCAGCCCCAGGGTTTCCATTTGAAGGTGAGATGCCTAACCCTAGAGTTCGGTTGGAATAGCCTGATAGAATCAGAACAAAGGGAAATGGCTTTAAATTAAAATGGGGAGACTGAGGTTAAATGTTAAAAAGTATTTTAAAATGTTTAATGCTTAAATGTTAAATGTTAAAAAATATTTTTTACACAGAGGCACTGAAAAATGTTGCCAAAAGAGGTTGTGATGGTCCATCCCTGGAGGCATTCAAGGTCAGAGTGGATGAGATGCTGGGCAGCCTGATCTGGTGTTTGTCAATGCTGCCCATAGTTGGGGGATTAGAACTAGGCGATCTTTCAAGTCCCCTCCAACCTAAGCCTTTCTATGACTCTGTAATGTTATGACTGCACTTACAGGTCATGAGTGGAGGTTTCCAGATTTGCCATTTCTTTCTCTAATTCTTTTCTTTTAGTAGGAACAATCGTGCTTCTGAAATCAAGTGCATGTGTTGATTAGTTGAGTTGACTGAAGTATGTTTACAGTGATGACCCTGCTTCTTTGCAGCGGCTGTCAGCTCAGGAGGGCCATGGATATTTCCAGGGAGAGAAGGAAATCACATCCTCGGATGCTGAGCTAGTCTGGGCTCCTGAGAAACAAGGAGCTCATACAAGTGGGCTGTGCAGCAGAAAGACAGCTGTGTCCAGGACCAGCACCTGTACAGCACGCAGCAGGGCTGGGGACACGATCTGCAGGTGACAGGATAGAAGAAAGAGAGCTTCTAGCCTGTTGCAGGTTAGTAGGCTGTGAGGTCACTGAAGGAGCATTTCTCACAACCCTTGACAAGGTAAGTCTCTGGCTGCTGGCAATGCAGCTGCTTTTACTAGAGGGATCACTAAATCAGGGGCATCCCATTGAAGATCAGGATGCAGACACTCTGTCTTTATCATGGAAATAGGTCTGCTCCAGTTGAGGGCTTCTGTGCTGCTGCATCAGAGCACAGCACTGAGGGCTGCGTGTCCCAGGACGGCTGCAGGCTGTGCAGCCGGGGCTGCAGCCGGGTGCCCAGGGCTGTCCTGCAGAGCAGGTCCCTGCTGTGCCTCAGGGGCTGTGTGCCGGGGCAGGGACTCTGCTGCCTGCCAGGCTCAGCACTCAGCACTCAGCACTCAGCACTCAGCACTCAGCACTCAGCCTGCCCAGGGAGCTGCCCACCGCGCTGCAGGGAGATGTGTGGGGGAAGGAGCCCTCCAGCAGGGCAGGGCAGGGCAGGGGCCTTCTGCTGCCACACCTGCTGCCTGGGGCAGAGGGATCATGGCTATACTGCACCACATTTTTTCCAAGGGCACTTTGCGAGAGGGAAGATGAGGCAGGCATTTTCCTTTTCTTTTTCTTAGGGAAGGGGGAAAAGTTGGAGGCAGAAATATGAAAGGAGCTGTGAGATATGAACACATCTCTGAGAATCCTGAATTGGACCTTTCTCAACCTGCTGTTATATGTACAATTTTCACAAGTGCTTTCAGCCACTCACCTCCCAAAAGACAGCACCAGCTGAAATTACCGAAATTCTCTGCGGGCATGAATAATGCACTTATCTTGCAATCAGGCAGCTTTCTCTAACAAAAATTTAAGTGCAGAAAGTTTGGGTTCGGGACTCTGAATACCAACAGGATAAAGATATGCGACATGGAAATTGCTCAGAAGAGGAATATATACAGGAGATTGGGATATGATTAGGAAATGAGGGGAAAGTAGCACATCCTTAAGCTTCTACTTCTTAAGGGATGGTGAAGCTCAGGAAAATAAATTCAAGTTATGGAGCTAAATGAACATTTTCCATAGAGAAAGAAAACCATTATAGTGTAGCAGGAGGAGTTTCTCTGAGAATGGTCTTGACTTTCCATTTTCTTCTGCAGTCTGTGCAGGACTCTGAGCTCAGGAACTGCAGATGCCCAACAGCAGCTCAATCAGCGAGTTCTTCCTGCTGGTGTTGGCAGACACGCGGCAGCTGCAGCTCCTGCACTTCTGGCTCTTGCTGGGCATCTACCTGGCTGCCCTCCTGGGCAACGGCCTCATCAGCACAGCCGTAGCCTGCCACCACCGCCTGCACACCCCCATGTACTTCTTCCTCCTCAACCTCGCCCTCCTCGACCTGGGCTGCATCTCCACCACTCTCCCCAAAGCCATGGCCAATGCCCTCTGGGACACCAGGACCATCTCCTATGCAGGATGTGTTGCCCAGACATTTCTGTTTGTCTTTCTGATATCGGCAGAGTATTCCATTCTCACCATCATGTCCTATGACCGCTACGTTGCCATCTGCAAGCCCCTGCACTACGGGACCTTGATGGACAGCAGAGCTTGTGCCACCATGGCAGCAGCTGCCTGGGGCGCTGGGGCTCTCCATGCTCTGCTGCACACTGCCAACACATTTTCAATACCACTTTGCCAAAATAATACTGTGGATCAGTACTTCTGTGAAGTAGCCCAGATCCTCAAGCTCTCCTGCTCAGAATCAGACTACCTCAGGGAAAGTGTGAATATCTATTTTAGTCTTTGTTTAATCTTTGGTTGTTTTGTATTCATTGTGCTCTCCTATGTGCAGATCTTCAGGGCCGTGCTGAGGATGGCCTCTGAGCAGGGACGGCACAAAGCCTTCTCCACGTGCCTCCCTCACATGGCCGTGGTCTCCCTGTTAGTCAGCACTCTCTTGTTTGCCTACCTGAAGCCACACTCCCTTTCTACCCCATCCCTGGACCTGGTGGTGTCATTTCTGTACTCGGTGATACCTCCCACAGTGAATCCTTTCATCTACAGTGTGAGGAACCAGGAGCTCAGGGATGCCCTGAGAAAACTTTGGGAAATCCCAAAGTGTTTGTTACTTCCTAAAACGTGCATTTTCTTTTAAATATAGTTATTCTAATTATGTTATTATAGTGAATTATGTATTTTTACCCAGTCATCTCGTGTGCCTACAGAACTCAGCTTCCCATGTCCATAAACACAATGAAGAGGACAGCAGAAATTCATTTCTCTCAGCTCACTTTTCTTCCCTTCTCCTCTAGAGCTGGAAGAGAAACCCCCTTTCACATGTGGGATTCAGGGGTCAAGGGCCCAGTGCCAAATGGAGCAGCAGCCCAAATTTCCATGGAGGCTGCCCCTCACTACTCAGTGGGCTTCTGCTCCTCACTGCCTTCAAGTCAGGGCTGCTGGTTTCCTCGAGCCACGACGATGGGCAAGGGCAAGAAGTGGTCGTTTGAGTGTTGCTCTCTTTCCACTTCCATGCTTTTCTATTGTACCTCTACACTCCTGGTAGCCCTTGGGTCTCACATGAATTGACGGCAGTCCTGTTGTCTCTATAGTGGCATCCAGTGGCATCCAGTGGCATCCAGCGGCAGAGAGGTAGCAGGCAGGAACAGGCAATATGTACCAATGTGTCAGAGTTTGTCTCACTGCTGCCAGCACCATAAGACAAGGGGCTGCTTGTCACAGACTAGGAACACGACACAGGGTTCTTGTGCAAAAATTCTCCTTTATTTTCCCATGCAAGGCTTTTATATTCTAACACATGTATTCACGACATTTCCACTAACAATCCATCGGCTAGAAAACAAATAAGTTTCAAAACAAAACTTCATAACAGCAGCAAGCTTATCTTACGCTTAGATACTGTAAGAAACATGCTCAATGTCAACAATTTCTAATCAGGCAAAGATCTCTGTGAAGAGCGGTTTGTTCATTATTGCAATAATGGGCACACACCCCTTACTGACAAGGGAGAAGTTGCACAACTACTCAGCGAAATCCATCCCGTTACATACCCTGGGTCTGACGCAGGTAAAGCCTCTCCTGGCACACATTGGTTGAGCATCTCAGGCTCACAATCTTCTAACACTATGGCTACATTACACTTCCATAGCTATGTTACACTTCCATAGCTATATTACACTTCCATAGCTATGTTACACTTCAATAGCTATGTTACACTTCCATAGCTACGTTTACACTCTCATAGCTACCTTTACACTTCCATAGCTATGGTTACACTTGCATAGCTATGTTACATTTGCATAGCTATGTTACACTCCCATAGCTATGGTTACACTTCCATAGCTACGTTTACACTTCCACAGCTATGTTACACTTCCATAGCTATGTTTAAACTTCCATATCTATGGCTATATCTATGGTTACACTTCCATAGCTATGCTGCACTTCCATAGCTACGTTACACTTCCATAGCTACTTTTACACTTCCACACAATGTCTGCTAGCAATCCAGTGTATTTTGGTATGTTCTGGACATTTTACATTTTATAGTGATAGTAGGACAGTATTTTCACTTGTTCTGTCTCTTCTTTACCCTAGTGTGTGTACCAATTCTTCCTAGGTCGAAACGCCCCAGTCTCAACTTGACTCTGTTCAGGAGTTTTCTTTGTTAAAGGTTTCTTATCCTATGCTATATATAGAAAATGCTGAAATTTCCACTGCAAAAATACAATCTACATCTCAGAGGCCCATGGCCATTCTGGGCCCTTCTGGACAGAAATGAAAGGGGATTGCATTTGCACCATGATAAAACATAGTATCATTATTATGATTATTAATATCATTATTCAACCTGCTGGGTCATCCTGAAACCAAGGTCCATCTGTCCACGTGTGGGTCATTCAAGACTCCTGTAGACACAAAAGGAAAGAAAATGCACTCAGTCACGTTTGATTGCAAGCATTAAGAAGGTGACATCTATCCAGAATAACTTAACCAAACAATTTTTTGCAACTCACACTTAGGGAGTTTTGGGAATAGGTAGTACCACTGATATTGCTCCAATCTGAGGTGTTCTCAGCAGTACAGGTTGCTACAAAATCCCATAAGATTTTTTCCTAGCTTGTTATGAACTTCTAGGATGGTTGCATTCACAGATAGACAAATGGCTTTCATGTTGAGGCAGCCACCCCCACTTCATCTACTAGTTAATTGGTTGGCAGCATTATACAATTGCAAACACCACCCAGAATCAAGTATTTCTTAAAAACAAACAAACAAACAAACAAACAAACTTAACTGACCAGTTGGTGAGTTCAGCGATGCCCTTAGCATGAGAATAAAAGGGAGTGTGGCATACCCAACAAACCCCTTCCTACTTGGCCCAGTCTTAGAATCGTAGAATCATAGAGTCCTTAGAGTTGGAAGGGACCTCTGAAGGTCAACTATCCCAACTCCCCTGCAGTGCACAAGGTCACCACAGCTCCATCAGGCTGCCCAGGGCCTGATCCAGCCTCACTTGGAAAATCTCCAGGGACAGGGCATCAACCACATCAGTGGCCCATCTGTGCCTGTGCCTCACCAGCCTCACTGTAAAATTCTTCTTCATTATATCTCACCTAAATCTACCCTCTCTGAGCTTGAAGCCATTTCCCTTTGTCCTTGCCACAGACTTTGCTAACGATTCTGTCCCCTTCTTTCCTGTTGCTCCCCTTTAGATACTAACAGGCTGCTCACAGGTTACCTTGCAGCCTTCTCTTCTCCAGGCTGCACAGCCCCACCTCATGCCTGTCCTCGTAAGAGTCATGTTCCATTCTGTGGATCACTTTTGTGGCCCTTCTTTATACGTGCTCCAACAGCTCCATGTCTCCTGTACTGAGGACTCCACATCTGGACACAGTACTCCAGGTGAATTCTCACCAGCGCGCAGTAGAGGAGCAGGATCACCTCTCTCACCCTGCTGGTCACGCTTCTTCTGAAGCAACCCAGAGTACGGCTGGCTTTCTGGGCTGTGAGGGCACATTGCTGGCTCACGTCCAGCTTCCCATCCATGGTCGTGTCAACCACACCTCACAGCTTGGGGTTTCATGACTGGCAAAAAAAAAAAAAAAAAAAGGATAGCACAAATGGCGTTGGAACTCTGCAGAGTGTCACTCGCCCCATGCTTCAAGGTAACAGCCATGTACCATCATGTGGTTTTACCTGAGTGACCATGGAGAGGGTATGAGGATGTGGGATGGCAAAACTCACCTCAGCCCCTCAGGCATGGGTACGTGAGGTGCAAGGGAAAGCAATCACAAGAAAGGGTCCTTCCAGGAAAATGGTGGCTCCAGTTTCCAGTGAGCCTGATGGTCTGGTCTTATCCCTGAGGTTGTCAGTGAGCCTTCTGGTTTTTACACACAAAAGATGAGTTATGAATATACAAATCAGAACTCGAGGGGCCCTGCCTGCAGCTAGGTAGAGGAAAGGGGCAATTGGGTTTATTGGACTGCATGGATTCAATGGCCTGGCACATCAGGACTAAACAAATAGGAGGCTCTAGCTGACACTGCTGCACAACTCTAATGCCATCCAGTTATAAAGGGACAAAACCGACTTGTATGTCAGGAGTGACAGGGGAATCCAAGAGTGAACTCTGCTAGAGACCAAAAGGAGCCTAACTAAATGAGTGGCAAAGGAACGTTTGTGATTACCATTGTGACTGGCCCAGAGGCTCTGTGCAT